AAAAGATCTTTCCACTGAGGAATTCGGTGTTTTGTTGCTAGCTGAAAACTAGAATTAACTGCTTCAATAAAGTAAAACACAGGCACTTGATATTGTTCAAGTCGTAGCTGCAATGGCATGCCAGCGATGGCATTTTATGGTCACTCTTTAAAATAGCAGAACCTTAAATTGTCTCATAAATGCAGCTGGAAGGGCTAAATGCCCAAGAAAGCATTAAACTAGTAATGACAGGAGAACACATTAGAGCAAACTGAAAGCCTTTGGACTAGCATCCTGCAAGCCAGCAGATCACTGGTGAAAACATCTATACCTCCACGTGAGGTATAGATGAAATCTATATCCATGAAATCTGAAGATCACTTACTATAAAATTTTAACATTAATCTTACAAAACACGGAAATTTTGAGTGCATTATTCTATCTTCTTCAAATCCATGAGTCACTTAATGCTTCCTCCCAAATTCTATGTTCCTTTTCTTCCATCTCTGAATCTTACTGAAGTCAATGGCAAATCTCACACTAATATCAGCTGTAGCTGGAATGCAGATTAAACACTTATAAAGTGTCTGCTTCTTGTCCTGCCTAAGATTCTGGATGGTATCCTGGTACATGATGTGATAGCCAAATAGGAAAACCACATGCCAGGTGACATGATACTGATCCAGTCCTTACAGCCAGCTGTAGTACAGGCAGGGCATAGAAACAGCCCTTTGCAGCTTTAGTCCCTCTCTCACACATCCAAGTTGTCCCTACATTTTTCCCTCCAATCCCAGAAACAGGAGGTACTTTGTGCAGTTACATCGAGGTCTGGGTCCCGGGAGCAGCTCCACTGCTTCAACTGGAATAGAGACAGGCCAGTGCCAAGCACTTTAGAAAACTGTTTTGAAACTTCATTTGGAGTCTGCAGTATGAGACCAACAATTAATCTTGCTAAAACAAACCCCAGATAAATAATAACTTAATATTATTAATAATAGTAGTAATAGATCAGTAAATCTTTATCAGCTTTCACAGAAGTACCACATCATTCCTTCAAGAGAACAGAATTCCAAGGAAATGTTACCTAGACTGATACACATGCACCTGCCAAATCCCATCTGCCTCTTCTCAGACTGTAATTTCTGAATCTAAATGGAGAAAGATTAGTACTGCAGTGAACTTCAGTTTTCAAATGAAATCATACATACTTCATTGGCACATTTGTAAGATTAAAACAAAGATGCATCAGCACTCAAATAATGAGATTTCTGAGATGACTGTCAAGTAGCTCCCAGTTTGTGTTTTGCTGAGCTATAGATAGGTCAAACCAGGCACGAATCCCATGGGACTCTTGAGTATCATGAATGCTTCCATTTGAAATACCACAATGTCACCTTTGAAGAAGTGTTTGTGAGAAAAGCGTATTTCTAACAAACTTGAAATCAAATAGAATAAAGTATTTCTGAAAGGTGACAAATGATTTGCATTGATGGCACTTTCTCTCTACCCACCCCTGCAAACATGCAGCACCTGAAAAACCTTTCCGAAGAATACCACAGAGGGGAGGAAAGCCATGGTTCTTCTTTTCAATTATTTGAACCACACAGGGGAGGCCAAACAACTCTGTCAGGACTCCTGATAAGGCTGTCCTCTGTGTGCCTCAGTTTCCCATTTATCAAGCAAATATGACAGCACCTGTGCCTCTTTGCAGGGACACATCAGACTATGCTCATCTGTGGTATTATGTAGCCATCAGGGACTTTGGGAGAATGTGCAGAGGGCTCGGGTGAGAGTTGGGACCTGCTGTGAAATCTGGCAGTTCAGCAGCTTTCCTTGGCTGCATGACACTGCTCTTCACACCAGAACACAAGTGCCTGGGGCAAATCCAGAGGAAGATGATGGAAACTGCTGTTGTCCATCCTCCCCTAGGATATGTCCTTCCTGAAACACAACGGCTTTGTCGTTTCCAACTCCCTTTCCCTGAATTGGCTCTTTGTGAATATGCCTCTGGGTGTGATTTTCCTTTTTCTTTGTTTTTTTTTTTTTATAATAGTAATTTCCACAGCAAACCCATTATAGTCATATGTAGAGGAGACTGAAACTTCAGAGGAGAGAAGGCACAGACTTGTTTTGGTGCCCCTGGGACTTCATATTACTGCCTGCAAATCAAGCAGTTTGCAGTTGTTTGACTCAATCTTGAGTGCTTCAGATAAACAAAGCCCCCACTTCAGGAGTGCTTAAGGGTCTGCTGTGCCCTTGCAAAGAGCTCCCTTTGCTTAGTGTAACTGCAGAGGAGACAATTTACATCACCTCCCTAGCTATTAAGTATTGGCTTTTTAGATATTGCTGGTTTCTGGAGTGGAGTTTATAGGACATTTTCCTGCTCTTCAGGAACTGCTGACCAGTATTTCTCCTTACATCTTTTTCCTACAGGACTACTAACACTGTATGTTCTTGCCCATACCCATCAGCTATACCCACCAGATGATCATAAACGAGATGAAAGTCTCTAGCTCTAATCTATGGCAATAACACTTACAGGCTTGGGGGGCACAGCCCCAGAGAACTCTTGGGTACCACAGACATTGTTGCAACCAAGAACTGAGAGTAGCCACTTATATGACAAATGAAAGGATCTACTTTGTTGCATAAAACATCCTACAGCATGCCTTTCGTGGACCTCTGGACTTGCAGCATTCAGGCCCAGAGGGTATCAAACACCCTGGTACTTTCTCCCAGGTAGGCTGAAGAAGCTTCTGCAGAAGCAGGGGCCCAGCTGCCCATCCAGTTCTCACAGCTCACCGGCTCTGAGGCAGGCCCTCTATCACAATACACAGAGCTACTGACAGCACTATTAGAAGCACATATCAAGACACTGTAAGTAAGCAAATTCAGGGCACCAACTTTATCAACAGCTTATGGCCCACAGCTTCTGTGCTTGATGGCTCAATAGATCAAGCACAAACCTGGCATCCAGTGGCACTCCCACACTACTCCTGGCTCTGCTGCTGATTCACTTCTGTATCTCTTGTCCTATACATTTATAATTGGTGACATTATACTAATACCTCACTGGGTGGAGCAAGGATTAGTCAGTGTTTGCTTGCATTCACCTGTTAATATGCAACACTCTCACTATGTTAACCATTATTATTCCCTCTTACATTGTGCCTTACAACAGGCCTTTTGCCTGGGCCTATAGTCACTGGATGAAATCCAAAAGCCCTTTCCTTCTTTTCCTGCTTCACAGTGAATGAGATGAATTCAGCAGAAACGCCACCTGAATCGACACCACCCAGTATTTAGTGTATGGTGTTTAAGTACCAAGATAACAGTAAGCCAAAAACTTAGAGACTCCCTATAATTTTGCCCACTGATCCCTGTCCCAGGTAAACAACCCTTGTTTAACGCTGGCTAATGCAATATTGTCTATCAGCACACTCCTGAACCCACAGTTACTATTGACACACTGTCTGTCTTCTCTGTAATCATTACTCTTCCTTGGCTCAAATAGCTTCATCTTACCCAAGTTCTCTTGATTCTCAGCATTTCTTTTTTGTTCTCAGTGGGATCCTCATGAAGCTTCAGCAATGGCCTATTAATACCTCTGACATTCCCAATCACCTATTTTAGATTCTTTATAACAAGTATACACACCCCTCCTCTTCAATACAGATATTAGCAATTTTCTTCAGCATCTTTGGCTTTAACATGGCCAATGCTGCATTTCTGATTTTTTTCTTGCCACCATTCTATCTATTCCCTTTAGTATTAATTCTGCTACAATTTTCCAATATCACTTTCAATTCATACAGATTTGTGAAAATTCTTCTTTGTGAACACTTCTTCCCTAGTGGTATTTTCAAATTTCTCCTTTTCTTCCTCCCTGAAAAGACCTATGCTTTATCTCAGCACTACAAACTCCCCCCTCTTTTGGCCTCCCCCATCCATATTCCCCTCCAGAGCTCCTTGAAAACAGACCTGTCAAGACTATCTTGACCATCAAGACCAATTTCTATCCTACACCAGTTTGATCTCATATTTAGCCAGCTTGTGCTGACTTGCCAAAGGTTACATTTCTTAGACTCTATTTGCTTATCCAAGTGTCTTAACAATAGAACCCCTCACTTTTGCGTCACCACAGAGCAAGTGAGATGGGCACAGTCCTGATCTGAACCAGGGAAGGTGTCTGCACAGCAACCCAAGACATTTAGCTGGAATGCAAGGAGTTAAATGGAGTTACCTGAGCAGCCACTAAACCTGCATCAGGCTCATTTAGAAGCTCCTCACAAAGATCTTTCTTCCTTTTTTTCCTCACAAAATTGCCATTCCTTGCTGACCTGTGCAAAAGACTGTAACTTTCTTCTGCAAATGACTCCTACAGTTAACGTTAGTAGGAAACCAACAGGCTGATACTGGTTTAAGGGACAGCTAGAAATAATTAACACCATTCCACTTGCAGTAATGCAGACACGTCTGTTTCCTCTTCCTCCCACTCTCCTTTATTGTGAGGAGCAGTTCCTGCTAACACCTGCAAAACACATATATTTTGTGGCCTGATCCTGTTCAGAGCCTCAGGCAGTGCAGTCATATTTAATAATGATCTTGCACAACAAAAGCCTGTCACACTAGTGATGAGACAATAGTTTCACAGTACAAAACTGGTCCTGATAATGACGATGATAAGGTTGCACAACAACTCAAGGAAAGACAGATCCAGATTGCCACTGGTTGCATTGTTGCCAGCTCTGACTTAATGACACACAAAGGTTTTTCAAATGTGCTCTAGCCCTCCTTGATTGCTCTGACAACCCATAGAAAAAAATCAGGTTAACTTTTCTGCAAAGGTAACACTTCCAGTCACGAGTTTACACACTTTGACTAGTGTGTTTTCCTGGAGGAACATTTTTAGCTTTACAGCACAAAGAAATATGTAAAAAAGGTATGTTCTCTTCTCCCTTCCCATCTCTCTCATCATGAAGTGTAACAGGAACTGACTGCACTTCAGTATATAAAAAAGCCAGAATATGAGAACTTCTGGTTTTCCTCTAAGTAAAATCTGAGTGTGAGAACTAAGAATTACAGAAGCAGGCATTACAGGGCACTGGAAGTCACAGTGGATTTTAGTTTGCACTGCTTTTGGCAGGTGAACTGCAGAGATGCCCACTGAGAAGGCACATGGGGAAATTCCGATGATTATGTATGAACCGCGCCATGAGCCCTATGCACAAGAACCCTCTGCACCAGAGTACTGCAGTCAAGAAGGTAAGCAGGCTTCACTGGGAGGGTTTTGGAAAGAGAACCCTCTTCGTGGCTGTGTGGCAAACATTGACAGTGTACCTAAGCCAGCTCTAAAGGGCCCAGCTTAGCCAGGACATGATGAGTTTAGAAAGTACCTATGCCAGAATATAAAACCAGAGTTAGGGTACGCAAACTGATACAATCTCCTAACAGAAACATCACTTAAAATGGCAAAAGAACATTTTTGTTGGTTTAGTTAATAATTTTTGAAACAACATATGCTTTATTGGAAAAAGAACTGCAGTGTATCTCTACAATAATTTCATATCTCTAACAAGCAAATGTTCAGCCAGCAAACTGTACTTGGATAGGCTGTCTTGCTTGAATTGTAATCTAGTTTTCCTGAGGACTGGCCTTTTCCCAAATGCTCCTGCTGCCCAGAGCTGCCATCCCTACATGAGTCAGTTCTGCAGCCAGGTTCTATAGGGACGAACAACCCCTCCCCACTATTGTACCATGGGGAAAACATCATGACTGAGTGCTGACAATTCAGCCCAATGACTACAAGTGTGGACAGCTGCTGCTCTGCTGGGATGGCTTTTCCCTCTGAAAGTAGGCATTGCTCTCACACCTACATAATTACCTCACAACAACCTCTTTGTCTTGTGCCTGTTCAAGCCCACACTCATTAAAAGACACACTGAGATATCAGTGATTTTACCTTTGTTACCCTCCTGCTATTGAGGAAATTGCCATTCACCAGAAGGGACTGGAACAGAAAACCAGAATGGGAGGTCAGAAGGTGACTGATAAGGCTAGATGTGTCAGTACTGTGCCTCTAACCCTGACTCATTGTCAGAGCATTTTATTCTGATGAGCTCTCTCAGTAAGTGTTTTTGTCTCCAAAGACCTCTCTGGCCTCTTTCTAAAGTCAGACGAGCTTGCAAGAGGCTGAAGAGAAAAAGTCACTTGTGAACTACTCAGCCAAGGGATGGGCACTCAACACATGTTAACACTGAGCTGCAGTGTCTTGTCCTTGCAGATCCTTCACAAAAACACATAAAGTGTTATCTCACTTTTGGTAATATTCCTATTCTAAATCAGAAAGAAATCCTTTACCTTTTAATTTCTTTACATATTTGTTTTTCCACAAACCCCCCTCAAAAAAAAAAAAAAAAAAACAAAAACCACCCCCCCCCCCAAAAAAAAGAAAACCCAACAAAAAAACAACAACCCAAAACAGAAACAAAAACCCCCCAACAAACAACCTGGCAACTATAAACACCCAACCATTAAAACCAAATGCTGCTGCAAATCTCTACCACTTCTGGCAAGCCATTCAAGGAAACATTGCTACCATTTTTTCAACTTTGCCACTATATTTTGTCTCACTTTCGAAAAATCCAGTCTTTCATCTCATTTTGTATCTCTGTGGGCTTATTCCCTGTTCAAGCTCACACTGTTCCTGCAAGGCTCAATTGTGCAGGCTGGACTGCCAGGTCAATGCTGCTTTGCCTGGGGGCAAAAGCTCTGATGCTGTGCAGGCTTGATCAAACAAGACTTCTCACAGGGACTGTCCTCCTGCTGCAGACCACATCTATGCCAGCTGGCTGTAAAGTTTTATACATTAATTTATTTTGAATGTATTCACGAATGTATATTTTACATATTCATTTATTTCACACTCAGGTAAGCTGATTACACTCCTAATCTGTGAGATCAGAACTAAAGAATTAGAAAAGCACGAGGTGTCTTAGTCACCAGCTTCCTTTCTCCATAACAAAAGTAAAAAGATCTTTAATTTTTTTTTTCTAGAACAAAGGATATGATGAAAATACTTGGAAGCTGAGGGCAGATAAAATTCGAGCTAGAAAAGGGTCTAAATACTAACATTTCAGTGTATCACTGGAACTAGTTACAGTGGATATTTTATCAATAGAATCCTTAAATTAAAACCAAGTATCATTTCAACGGTATGCTGGAATAGATGCATTTACTGCCTTTGTGTAGAAAAAACAATTTGGTTTCTCAGTTTATGTTATATTGGAAATGAGGCCAGCTTGCCACTGTGGGCTCTTTTGCCTTTAAAATTCCATGGTTCAGCGCACCATTTTTGCCCTGTACTTCACTGAGCTACATCAGGCCCCACCTGCAAGGCACCTCCCAATGCAGCTTCTTATCAGACTCTGAATGGGGCTTTCAGGAAGCATTAAGCTGTACGCATTTTTACGGTTTTCCCTGTTTTTCTTTGCACAGGGGGTTATGAATATCCTGCTCCCCCACCTTACTCCTATCGGGAAACAGCCACCATTGAGCAACCAGGTAAGTGCCAGGGGACTGTGCTTCTGATAATTTTTAAGGTTCTACATGCTAACAAAAGTGAAATATTTTTAGTTTTAAAATCAACACAGAAGATGGAGTTTTCTGACCACATTCCCCCCCCAATCTAAGAGGCTGGAAAATTTCCCAAGAAATGTTGGAAGATAAACTAAGATGAGAGATTTGGACTTGGTTTTCCAGCATTAGATAATCTACAGAAGCCCCCAATTTATTTTTATTTTTTTTTTTTAATCAGCTAGGAACTAGGACTTTCAGAACAAACAATTTTAAGTCCAGTGTATTTTGTTGTTCCTGTTCTAGTCACTTTTATGGAAGTGAAGAAGCTCAAAGGAGATGCTGAGGAAAGGCTTCAAAGAACAGTCAAATAAGATCGCTTACAGGAGGAGACACATAACATTGTTAAAAATCACTAAGACCAGAAGGCAATTAAACTCAGATATACTATATCCTATCTATCTAACAGACAATACCTTCCCACTCTGAAAGTTTGCTTCAGGCTACAGTATGAATGTACCCTAAATTTGGTTTAGGATGTTTAAAATCATAGTTTTCACTGAAAACATTTCTGAAAAATAGTCTTCATGTACCCACAAAAGCCATGCCCCTCAAGAATTATGACAGTCAGGTCCAGACTGAGAAAACATGAGGGAAGCTATAGAATTCACTGAGTAAGCACAGCACCAGCATACAAGTAATGACATTTGTATGTTAGAATAACTACCCCGATGAATTTGTTGTAACTACTGAAAAGTTGATCCAGAAAGTTCTTCTATAGCCTTCAAGTATCTTCTTCAGGGAGAACATGCTTTTTCATATTATTTTAAGTCTCAGAAGATAAATTCTCTATGTCAGAGTGGTTAGTGGAGACTGCCTGACAATGAGGGTTATCGTATAGGCAATTCCTTGTGTATGTCCTCATCCGGGTAAATACTCGCTGTGGGTAGAAGCAACATACTGGGATACACAGAACAAGCATTACTGTAGTTCTTATCAATATACTTGAAATCAGCAATAGGGACATACGTGCTTCTAGATCAGCCATGTTAAGAACCTGCGTTCTCCAATTAAGACTTTATAACTTGTAAAAGATTTCCTTTATTTCTAATTTTGCTCCTTCTCATTTCCTCTTGCTCTCAGTTTACATGGTGTCTCAGCCTCCAATCATCGTAGCAGGAATCTTCTCAAGCAAACCAACATCCACAATATGCCCTTCTTGCCGCCAGCACATCACCACACAGGTCACCTACAGACTGGGCAAACTGTCCTACCTTCTGTGCACCAGCTTGTGCATGGTTGGGTAAGCTTTCATGCATGCTTTGAAGATTCTTCATAGCAGAAGGTTAAAAAAGTATTAAAAGCCCAAAGTTCTAGCTAGTGCTTGTATAGATGGTTTTTACCCTTCTCTACTTGGAAATTAGTTATTCTGTCCATTCTAGATACAGTCATCATGGCTACAGGGGATGCAAACTTGCTAAATTTAACTGACAAGCAAAAATTAGTACAACACTGTCTACTGCCCCAATACAATTTAGGATTTAGGCTCAGAATCAGACTAATGCATCAGGTGTTAATGGTGAAGATAGTTTTTTGGAAGATACTTCAAACATTGTAAGACTTGAGATTTATGCAGTGAAAGGGCAGACAGAATAAGGCAGAAGAAAACCACAGATGTAGCCAAGCAGAAAGCAAAGTTAGTAAATCATTCATGCATGTCCATTTCCTCTTTGGCTGTAGGTGCTGTTTTGGATGCTGCTTTGTACCTTTCTTTGTGAGGATCTTCAAGGATGCAGACCACTACTGCCCATGCTGCCATTTTCATATTTATAGATACAAAAGACTATAGAAACAAAGTTTATGCAGCCAGATGGCATCAAGTCTCTGTTTCCTAACTGCATAAAATTCTACACATAAAACTACTGGTATGAAATATATAGGAGTAGGCTTAGGTTCTGCAGCTTGCTCCCTTGCTGGTGAATCCGTCTGGAGTTTACCATCACATAGTTGGACTTACTTAAAAACTCTTGAAGCCTAATTTAGTGTCACTTGTATTTATGCTCTATTTGATTCATTGTCCTGAGGTGTGAAGTGACCAGCTAATGAGTACTTACTTCAGTGCTACTACTGCTGCTCTCAAATCTCCAACCCAGATGGGACACAGACTCTTCTGGACTTTTCAACCCATCACTAACCGAGAGGTTTGGACACGCATATTTTAGGGAAGCACTTACCTTCTATGCACTGGAACTGTCTGGCTGGGATTTCATCTCTCTCTGCTCTTCTTCATAGTACTACCCCTGCAGGGCTGTGGGTGGTACAGTGTAGCTGATTATTTATTAACAAAACACTAAGTTATGAAACTGTCTTTACTGTATTACATACATGGTAAGAAAATAAACTTGTTATTGTTAACAATACTGGCAAAACATCTGTTTGCATTGCTTCCATGACCCACTGCATCCTGAGCAGAGACACTGGTCAGCCTGGGACACCCTGTTTACAAACCAAGAACCAACAGGCAAACACAGAAAAATCAGCAAGCACGGCTTGGAAAAAAGCCACCAGTACCACAACACAAGGCCTTCATTTTACCTCTCTGCCTCACCACTGCAGTGCACCACCTCCCAGACAAGGCCTTACTGGGCTTTACACTTTGCAGAGAGCTTTCACAGATCTCATCCAAAGACACTTGCAAAACCAAATTTCTGCAGTTACTTGCCCAGAAGGTGCCAAGAACCTGCTCAACACTGACAGGACCAGCTGCTGTTTATTGCTGGCTGGAAAAGTCAACAGAAGAATGTAAGAAACCCTTGATTTCAACGTTCTACCACAAGCGTTTTCGTGTTAGTACCATAATTTCAGTGGCAAGCGGGGCGCGTGTCTGGCAGCACTCAGGCTGTTCCCCTGACATTGTCTGACTATGGATGAGGTACATTGCCTGCGCTCCAAAGGATCCCTACCACCTTGCAGTTAAAAACACCTTTAAACTTCCCAGTTCTTCTGACATTAAGTTTGATCGAGTTATTTCTTGTAGCTATTTAGTCCGCTTAAGCGGCAAAAATTAAAGTGTCCCCCTCAACAGCCATTTAGCCACATTGGCTCCAGCTCCGCGGGAACCCCCTCGAGGCCGGGACTCGCCGTAGGAGGGGTTTGCCGCCACCGGCACGCACAGAACCCTCCTCTCCTCAGGACACCCCAAGGGGACACCAGAGAGCCCGACGGCCTCCCCCGGGGCAGCAGGCCGCTCCGGGAGGGCAGCCCGCACTCGCCGTCCTCCCGCAGCAGCACGCCACTCCCCGCTGACGCCGCACCGCGCCCAGCCGGCACCGCCAGAGGCGGCCCACCGAGCCCTCAGCGCCGCAGCGCCCTTCCCGCCACACTGCGCCCCCTTGTGGGGCCCCTCGCTGCAGCAGGGCGGATGGAACCGAGCTCCAGGCCTCGGACGGCACAAGCCGCGGTCCTGAGCGAAACAAAGAGCATTGGATCAACGCCAGCGATAACGCAGAGCGAGGGTTCTCCAAGCAGTTCAAACCAGAGGGAGTATCAGGCTGGGGCAGCGTGGCAGCAGCACAAACAGGCACGGTGACCTGCTGAAGGTGAGAACAGCAGCACTGAGGGACACTGCTGAAGGAAACCGTGGCTACTAGCCAAGCACAAACTGTCGGTAGAGCAAGCACAGCATGATTCAGCATGCCCCACATCGCAGCTCTATGGGCCACAACCCGTGCTGATGAGCATCGAACCAAGAACAGCGCCTGGAGCAGACGTGGCCCTCCTTAGGACCTCAGCACCAGCAGCAGCCAAAGCGAACCACCTGGAAACACAGTGCCTATCACCTGTGTGAGTTACTGCTGTACGCACGCTTAGAAACTCACAACCTCCAAAAGCAGCACAGGCTCCACAGTGCAGTTCAAGGGAGGCATTTCTATCGAGGCTGACACATTCCACCTCCCAGCCCAGTGGTACAATTGTAAGTGCCTTCTGTTGTACCAGGTCAGTAATGCCCCATCCGATGGGGACCCAACCTACTTCAACCCAGGGTGAAATTAATACCACACGGATTAAATCCACAAGCACTCACGGAGATGTCAGCCCAACAGGTTTCATGCCATTTCACATGTTATTTTTAAATGTTAAGATTTTTCTCCATTTTTAAATCTGGCTGTGAAACAGCAAGCTTTGCTGTTAAGTAGTGGTAAAGAATGCATGGAACCAGTAACAGGAGAAAAGGTGACAGAGCAAAACCCCACATGAATATATACATAAGAAATTATTTATATGATTTAAGATGTACAGGAATCATTTAACAGAAGTAGTTGGATCATTTTTACATCAATAGTTGGAGATGTTTAAACAACAATTTACACAAGTATTTAATAACAAAATGCAGGCTTCCAGGCACAGCCTGGTGGTTGGCAAATGTAATTTACTGCTGCTGTGCTTGGTACACAGCTAACTTCAACACCACCTGGGACAGAAATTATGTTGAGCACAGATTTGAAACCAGATTTGGTCACAGCACAGGTGAGTATTTCCCCTTTTTCTGACCCTAAAGACCAGGCTGGTTTAAAAGCCAACCATGACACCACAGCATTAACATACCAAACACTGACGCTCTCTGCCTCAATATCCAAATCATTCAGTTCCTCCAAGGAAAAAACAAGAGTTCAAAAACCGGAAACTGCCACAGAAGTCAATGTTTGCCTTGTGGCCAGCTCTCCCTACACTGTGAATGTCATTCCTAACACACAGGTCAGCTGAATTTATCACCCTGGTCTAACCAAAATCACCCTGACTTCTGAGTGACTCCTTAGCTTTCATACCCAATCTTCTCTAAAATGAACAGACACGACACCAATCCAGTGTTTATCCTAGTCTACTTTATTTACAATATATACAGTTCCTACAGAAAATGATTTCTCACAAAGGATATTCACCAGCAAAACTACGGCACAGCTTGTGCTTGGGCCCTGACACCTGCAGCCAGCAGAGAGCCCACAGGGCAGGGGGACTGGGCTCCAGTGGGATGCCAGATGGGATGTGGGCAGGATGCTGGCGTGCCAGCTCTGGAGGGGCAGCAGCTGAGGTAGATCCAGTATGCAGGAGGCACTGCACGTTCAACACATCCTCCGGCACATCGGCCCGATCCCTCCAACATCCTGGGGCAGCACAGCTTTGTCCAGGTGTTGCTCAGTAGGCCTTCTTGTACACAGGGTGTCTGGTTGGCTGTCACTCTCTAATCAGCAGCTATGTCACTGGTGTGATTTGCTTAGATCTCACAGAACGCTTTGGACTCCTTTAGGATAAAAGGCACTATGTAAATCTACAGGAACAATGCTTGCTATTTTCCTAGGGAGAATTCAGACGGGCTATTTAACATCATTTTGCTCTGATGATCTGTACCATGAAATTACGTCCTTATTGCTTAACACTTCTATTAACTTCATTTAATGCATTCACTGCTTATTATCCAGATAATTCCAAAATCTGAATAAAAAATTTGAAAGAAAGGTAATTTTGAGGACTGTATTGTTGTAAATACTTTTAGAATGAATTAAATATACTGCACCTGAGAAACATCCTGTCTTCCTCTTCTCTTTGTAGGTGTTTCCACTTTTGAACAAGTTACTTGTGCTCCAAAAAAAAATTACTTTAATTTTTCATTAAAAACCTTCAGTTATTGAGAACTGCATCTGGAATGCCTGAATGTATCATCTCTTCAAAACTAGTGAGGAAATAGCACAAACACTGAAGCACGTTAAAACTCGTCATCTAAAAAATCAAAAGGCACCCAAAATTTACTTCGTTAGTGGTATTCTCTTCTGAAATAGGAAGTATTGTGATTCCTTAAGGTATTTCCTAAAAGCTTCCAACATCCTATGCATGAACATGAAAAATTAGTGACATTTGGCTACAAGCTCATTTTTAGATCAGTTACTGTAACATTAAAGTCACAAAACATAATTAGGACTTACTACTGCTGACCAGAGTCTCTGATTTTACCAAAATGTTTTGAATACAAATCCTGACATTTACTGAAAGCCTGCAGAGACAATCCAAGTACTAGTAAGAACACCACTTGGATGGGGTTGTAATTCTCACCACTTTGATGCAAATACAAATTAAAGGAAAACTTTATCCACTTAAGGCAAGTCATTTAAAGCACTTCCCTCTACCTGGAAGCTCTGCACTCAGGTAACAAAAAAGAAAAGCCTTGACTAGAAATCAGAGACAATTAAAAGCACTGAAAGATATAAATTAAAACAAAAAAAAAAAGCCTAAAACTTGACCAATTAATTCATTTTAAAGCTAAAAGAAAGAATTAGATCTTAAAATTAAATTTACAAATCCTTGCTGGTGTTTTCAGTAATCACCAGAATCCATCTCAGAAAAAGGTATAAAGGCCATCACAAGTACTCATGCCCTACTAAACATTTACTGACAGGTCTGAGACAGGGAAGCTTCTAAGCATTTTCTGTTTTGGTTATGAATACAGGGAAGACATTACAGTGGGGATCTATTGCTCTATTAAGGAAGCTTACCTTTAGAGACTCCAGATTTTACTTTACAGCATTTATAGTATTAGACTTGAGAATCTGGACCACAAAATTTTGTACAGGCAGGCAGAGTCAAGTCTACCACAAAAACTCTTCTACAAGCTTTACAAATGAACTAGTAAAATAAGTTCTTCCATTTGTCTTATTTGTACATGGCTCCTCCCTGGAAAACCTTTTATTGATTAAGCTCAAATTTGACTAGTTAGGAGGTACAAAACAAAAGCAAAACAAACAAAAAAAACACCTCCAAACCCAAAACAATGAGACAAAAATCCCACAAATCTTCCCCAAAACAAACAACATGAGGGTTACACTATTGTTAACACTTAAGAAAACAAAACAAAAACAAAACACCACACCTTTAGCAAAACCTCACAAATGAAAACAGTTCCCAAAACTCTGTTTCCAAGGAGAGGAAAAATCTTCAATGTCCATGTGATCACTCACCGAAAAAAATTTTATAGAAAATTTTATTCAACATACAACATTTTCCAGCAAAAAAAGGCAATATACAGGAAGAGTTGTTGTACACTGCGGCTACAGAAACAAAATAAAATACTGGAAAAGAATGTAAAATTAATGTGAATTGCTGATTCTATCTTTACTGCACTCAAAACTAGACACGCAGCTGGCATGAGCTCCAA